TCTCTGCCACATATATGATATGTATATGAAAACAGGTTTTTGCCACTACTCCCAGCCCAATCTGCAAAAGCATAGACTGGATTTAGTTAAAAATTGTCAAGAAGTAGAATCTAGACCTTAATCTATGAGGTGATTTACTGAATATATGAACGCCTGAAGCACCCTAAGATTATTGGCAAAACATTTCTTCACCATGATGCAAGAAACCAGGCAGGGACATTTATCCACAGAACCAGCTGTGTGATTAACTGCCCCCAGAGGCCAGAAGATCTGCAGGCTTTCACAATGATCCAGAGCAACAGAGGCCATAGTAGCAGTAATGGCCAGCCATATATGGAGCACTGAATGATTTAAAGTGAAGTCCTCCTTTGGTATCCATGGGGATGGCTCCAGGGTCTTCCTCAGACACCAAAATCTGATATAAAATGACATCGTATTTACATACAGTCTATACACATCTCCTCTTGTACTTTAAATCATCTCTAGACTACTTATAATACCTAAGACAACAAAAATAGCTGTTAAAATGTTTTGTTTAGGGGAAAATGACAAGACAAAAAAGTCTGTGCATGTATAGTACAGAGGCAAATTTTTTCCTAAATACGTTCAGTCCCTGGTTGGTTGAATCCATGGATGTGCAAGCCACAGACACAAAGAGCTGACTTTACACCATCTCGGTGAATCCTCACACTCCTAGGAGGTTGAAACTAACCTCACTTTTTATCATTTTGCAAATAAGAAAATTAAAGCTCTGTACAGACAAAATAATTTGACAAAGATTTTGTAACTCGTGACTGTGAGCTAGCGTTGTCTGTTTTGACTCCACAGTTCTTTCCACGCTGAAACCCAGCAGCATCTTCCAAACCCAGCTGGATTTCAGGATCACTGGGAAAAGGCTGAAAGAAAACCAAATTCCCAAGCCCCTGCCTAAGACTTACAGAATCAGAATTCTTGCCGGGGGTGGGGAGGCTTAGGATCTGAAATTTTTAAAGCGCTCTATAATTCTGGTGAACACCTTGGTTTGGATATGGCTGCCAACTGAAACTGAAGCAGAAGGTAATCAATTAAGAATTATGAAAGGTTTGAGTTAATCATGTATGAGGAGCCTGGGACATTATGGAGGAGAGTAACTTCAGCAAAACGGGCCCCTACAATCTTACTATGCATTTTTGATTCATCCTGGAGACATGCTCAAAATATATAGACCAAGTGATAACCTTCTCAAGTTGCCAAAGTTACCTTTTTTTTAAGTGATGCTGAAGTTGCCATTCTGTGGATTGTACCTAAGTGGCCAGGTGGTGGGCTGTATACTCACTAAGGACAGGGTTCTTGGTTTCGATCACTTTAGTATACACCTAGCACATAGTAGGTGTCCCTACGTGTTTGTTGAATGAATGAATCTCCATCTTCTTTCAAGAAGAATTCCTAAGTCTGATTAAGAGCTTTTGTTTGTGTTTTCACTAAGATCTGTGGGTATAGATACGATATATCCTTCTGAGCATTAACAATAGAATACCAAAGTGGTGCTTTTTCTTTGTTCCTTCCTTCTTTTCGTAGATGACACATTTACTTGAGGGCAAGGTCTGTATCATTTTTTGCATGTATTTTCAGCACCTAGGACAGTGTTTTAAATAAATAAGTGATGTGTAAATGCAAAGTCTGCTTTTTATCCCACAACGCTGGAATTGATCTCCCACTGATATGTATTTCCCTAACACCAAGTGTGATCACATATTCTCAAGAGAGGAGAGGAAGAGGTGCAAATTAAAGACAAAAGAGAAGTTGGTGCCCAGGATGGTATGCTCCAGAACAAAACCTCACATGCAGACTCATCCTTAGATCAGACGCGGAGTTCAAAGGACTCAGCAAATGAGGAAATGTCTCCCCAGAACTAGACTCAATACATCAGCAGTTGTCATTTTCCACCGGTGCTTTTTGTCATGGAGGACAAAAAGCATTGCCAAGTCAAAATTGTTTGGCCACTTTCAAGGTCACTGCCCCCTCTCAGATCTGGAGCTGAGTCCAGTCTGGCAAGCCTGCTGCTCAAAGTGGATTAGGCGGGCCGTGGAGAGCATGTGCCCTGGCTGCACTCCTGAGTCACGCACACCTAACGGCCCAGTGATGTTCTCTGAGGACAGCTGCCTCTTTTGTCCCTCCTGGGATCTGAGACAAGTTCCCTGACCTCAGCCCCATGCACTGTTTCAGCTACTGCCGTGGCCCATGCCTTCCCTGCTATCGCCATAAGCGGTGTGCCGTCATCACCGTAAGTTTGTTCTGACAGGACAGGCATAAATTAAGCTGTGGCTAAGGTCCAGGGTCAGAAATTGAGTTACAACACCCAAAACCAAAAACAATGAATGAATGGACGAAGGAGCCTCTTTTCAAACACTTGGGTAATTACATGAAATCCCGTCTCTGTTTTCCCTGTCGATTCCTTACAATGGCTTAAATTCTTAACACTTGCATTTACAAACTGGGTCCTATTGAAAGGCTAAGTGTCTTCCAGGAAATCAGGGAACGAATCATACGACCCAGAGGAGATGGGCAGCCCTTCACCCCTTCTTAATTTCTGTTTAAACGCCATAGCCTTTCTCACCTTACCCAAGGCAGCTGGATGCGGTTATTGTTTATAGAAAGAACAAAGGGGTCGTAATATAAACCTGAAGGATAATTCCAAAATCATCTACATAATTCAGTGTAAGAAAATGAGAGGTGGGCTGAAACTTGGCCTAGAGAGAGGTAGACCGGAGTTAAGAAGTACTTATTCTATCAGTTATTAGATGTCTCACTGCTTTAATACACTGCCATGGTAGAACAAGGAAAGAGTATGAAAGTGGCCAGAAAGTGGCTCCGTGGCTTCAATCCTGTTCTCTCCCCAGGCCCTCGCTCCTTCCACTCACACTCTCACATGTATATAAATCACAGATATCCACACATACCGAGACATAAATACATCTATAGGTGCGTACTTATATCTGTTAACAGGTGAATAACCTAGATATAAACACTCAGGTGGTTAGCTAAGTATACAAATATATTTTAAACTCGTGCAGCAAACAGTCCATCCGCTGGAACAGGATATTCAGCAGCCAAGGCACTCGTCTGTCTCAACAAGGAAAGCTGCTTTGTCTGGCTCCCTGATAACTTCAGTGTTTTGGGAAACTCCTAGCGTGTCCACGGCAGCCCTGCTTCTAAGTGGAGGGAGTGTGAATGTAAAAGAACTTTCTAAACCTTCCTGAAATGCCTTCTCCAGGGAGCCCATGACCAGGGACGCGTGAGTCAGCTTCCACCCGAGGAGACCCCTCCACTCGCGGCCAGAGGCGCCTTAAGAAGGGACTCCGGGCTGTGGGCTGGAAGCCAAGAGCAGGACCCTCCCCTCTGCTAGACTTCCAGCGGGTCTCGCTGGAAACATGAGTGCCTGAGACCCTTCCGGTCTCCCCATTCCCTGCCTCCCCGAGTGCCGAGAAGTTAGAATCGGGCACGGCCTTAAATCGTGCCTCCTCTTCCTGGGGGGGGACTGGGGCGGCAGGACTTGCCTGGGACGGGGGTGGGGATGTCGCGGCGGCAGCGCGGGCCCAGGGCCCCGGCTGGGCCCCAGCTCCTCGGACCCTTCCCTGCACACGCGCGCACAGG